ATCGATCTCATTTGATCCACACACAGTATTGATATCGTAATGAAAATCAAATATTACATTGTCCGAATGCTACCGCGGCCCGGTACTTTCACACCTTGTGCACTCGTTTTTTCTCTCCGTCTTTCTTTTTTTTTTTGGTAATGTTTGCGCGGGTGCGGGTGCGATACGCCCGCTTGCCGTTCCCACGGCGCGCGGCCCGCCGGAGATATGGTAACAGGGCCGCGTTGTCAGGCGGGCGCGCCAATTTGTTAACGGCGCCGGGACGAGGCGCGGGGGCGGCGGGGGGCGGCCGGGGCGGTGGGGGCGCCGACTGATTAGAGTAGTAAAGACTGGAATATACGCGGGCGCCGAACCCGGGCGGATGAGCTATTCAGAGAGGGGCCCTCTGGCCTCTTCGGCCTGCAATATTGTAAAAGGCCATGGTTGGTTACCCTCCGAGAGCTGTGGTGTCTTTCTTTCCCTCATCCTCCCAGACCAATAGCAGCCCCGCTATGCTCTGCTCTTGCGCCACTCGCTTGCGCGCCCGCAGGTTATACACACTCGGCTGGGCTCATGAGAGACGGGGTCCGGCCGGCCGACTCGTATTCGGGACTGGTCCGCCCCGCCCCGCCCCGGCCCTGCCCGGCCCGGCACGCTATACGCCCCCTCCTGCAACTTGAATTAGGTGGAGAAAGCCTCCTCGCGGCGTCGGCAGCACGTCGGAACAGTGGTCTGCACCTGTGTGCGCGCGCGCCTCTAAATCTTTACGGCTGCCCAGCTGATCCGGGCCCGCCCCGCCCCGTCGAGTTGAGATCGTCGATGTGCGATTATCGGTAATCTATTCACGCTGCAGCGAGTTGGACGGGGCGGGGCGGGGCGGGGGGCGGAGACTCATAACGGGCGAGTTGCACTCTCACATACGACACATGGCGTCATTAGAAAATCCCCCTGAAACATGCGGCGAAATGAGATAAAACATAAAACGCGGAGCGTTACATGCATCGCCGCTCGCTTTCGTCCCGCATATGCGACGAGAGAGTGGCGGGAATGAGGAGAGAGGAGGCGGGGTGGGGTGCACCCCGGGCAAAATTATTTGCTGTTCCACTTTCTTGTTGTAAATTTGCGAACATTTTTTTTAGCTGAAAATTATGCAGTTTTGATTTATGTCCCCACTGGCCCTCACCACCGCCACGTCGCCCGGGGGAGCGCCTGCGCTGCGCGAGATAGGCAACGCGGACGCACGCGTGTGTTGCGGTTGCCTACCCATCTCTCTCTCTCTCCACTCCTCTTTCGCTTTGCTCTCTGTTGCGGGGGGCTCCCAAAACCACCGCGGCGTGGCGTGCCGGGGGGTCTGAGCAGCGCGTCTGCCCTCCTGACTCTCTGTCTCTGGTATTGCGAAACCACCAGCCCTGCAGGTCGTGACGTCGGCGTGAAAGCACCGCGGAGCTTCGGCTGTCGGCGGGCGCCGGGGCTGATAGTGACCGCGGGCTGAAGCCCCTCCCCGGGCTCGGGCCCCTCGGGGTGCACCGCTGGCTGTACTTAGTGTCCGAGCACCGACCACGGTCCTGCATACTCCTCCCTAGCGTCATCACTTTTACTACTACCCCTACCCGGTATACTTAAAATATAGCAGATTGGAACCACAACACTTTGGTGGCACTTTAGGCAAACTTTTTTCATACTTTTTGTATACTTTTTTTATCACTTTTAAGACACTTTGGCGTGTCACTTTTTCAGCTCTTTTTTTCCGTGCGGGTACCTCCCCCGCCCCCCCTTCTCGAGCGAGACGCTTGGTTCTGACTTTAAACGGTCGGCATCATGTTCCATCTCGCCGAGTCAAAGCACCTGTACACTCCGGTGTACCAAGGCGGGGACGGCCGTTCAAATTACCGCGAGCCACGGCCAGTAAAGCAGGTAACTGAACTGCGGCGACGCCGCCCCAAGCGACACGCCGCCTGACTCAGCCCTGACCCGACCCGCGCCTGCTGGGGGGCGGCGTGCAGCGAGCGCCCCGCCGCGCTGTAGACCACCCCGCCCCGCCCCGCCTCGACCGGGGTGTCCTGCGTTCAAAAGTGCAGTCGTTTTCGTTTGTAGATGGCGAGCCGGGCCAGGTCGA